TGGAACAACTTTCCGGTGGTGAGCTCCTCCACGAAGTATCCCGGCGAGGTCATCGACATCGTGACCGCTGGGCAAAGCACTCTCACCTGTGTCCTGGTGGTAGACAAGTACTTCTGGCGGTCGCTGTAGAGCTTCCTCTTGGCCCAGACCACCTGCCCAAAGGTCGCCAGCTGTCGGTGCTTCCACCCCATTGACTCCAGCTGACTTCGGAGTCGAGTGTCGGCCCAATGTCGAGTGGCGTGACACCAATAGCTCTCGTCAAGGCCTGCTGCCACCAGGAGGGTTCTGGCACCTCGTTTAAGCTGTGCCACTGCTCCCTCCGCTCGGCCATTGCCCTTAAAGTTGTCACCATCTGTAAAAGTGCGACACAGGCCTCTGTCTCGGATCCACCTGTCGAAGATCTTGCTCTGATACTCGCCAGCCCGATCTGAGTGGAGCCGCTTGAGAGGAAGACCCAAGAAGTTCAGCTTGGCCACCATCCGTCCCACGGCTTCCAGGACTGCCGATGCACCTCGATTCTCCATGACCTCTGCAAGCGTCACTTGCTTGACCTGGAAGTCTCGCTCTGGCTCTACCAATGCTGCCCATTCCTTCTCATCATCCAAGCCCGGCCATGGTTCTCCTTGATCGTGATCGCCTCGCTCCTCATCAACAACCGTCAGTTCTGGCCCGTCACCTTCTGCCCCAGTCAACTCGTCCTCTTCGTGGATCGGGATGATCGACTGGCCACTCTTGGTAACTGGAAAACCAGGTAGACTCCCACCAACACGAAGCGGCCCTTTCCGAGTTGGTCATCTGCTAACATGAACGGCCCTGCAGTGTCGATCGACAGCGTATACGCTTCAGCATGCGGGACCCGCTTGTGCGCCCGGCCGCGTGATGCAGCAATGACACAAGACTTGCACTCTCTATTGTAGGGCAGATGCCCGTTCAAGAGATGTCTTTTCCAGGCCTCCAGGTCCATCCGTTTCACCTGGTTCACTGGGGAGTTCAAGGCCTCCCGAATAGCAATTGCCAGTGCCTTCTTCAATCCGGGCGCCCACGCTGACCAATCCCTGCTCTGCTTGATTCTCTCGGTCAGGTCCTCCGCCAAGGCAGTGTCTCCTCCGCATCCATGTCCTCGGATGTCCTGCAGCTCCGCCAACCGTGGGATGTTGGTTCCCAACCTTGTGGGCTTTCTCCTCGAGTGTCCCATGGGTCCTTGGTCGAAACCGACCTCCATCAAACCCCATCGATCCCTGACAGCTCTCCATTCTGGCCAGCTCCAATAGGACGGGTACCTGTGTGCTGCTTTCTCCTCCGCCTTGAGGTATTCCTCCGGGTCCTCGGGCTGTTCCAATTGCCGCCAGGGTCACTTTTGGGCCTCGAGCCAGTGCTGCACGATGATGAAGGTACAGCTGCCTCAAGAACAGGATCGTGTCATCCTCCACCTGTTTCCGGAGGTAGCGGTCCAACTGTGGCAAGCCAAACCGGTAGGGGCCCTCTCGTTCCCTCAGTGGTGGAGGTCCCGGCTGCTTGAATCTCAGCCTGCTCATCGTCCGGCACGGAGGTCCTCCCAACAGTGCACACACTGTTCCCCCATCAGCCAAGTCAAGCAGGTAGGAGAAGATATCGTCTCGCAGGAGATTCATTCCCTGGTCGATGACCGTGTCAATGCAGAGGACTGCTCGACTTTCGGCTTCCAACTCCCTCTGCCAGAACTTCTTCGAATCTCCACTGAAAAGGTGGATCACGACCTCCTTTGCCCTTCGGACTCGCCTCCTCTCGTGTCGATTCCAGGGCAAACCCTCACCAGTCCAGCCCTTCTTCGGGAGCAATCTCTCCAGGAGATGGTGCGGAACTTCCGGGAAGAGGTCCTTCAGCTCTGTCAGATGCTTCGCCTCCTCGGGGTCCACGTCCAAGCCAATGTCCTCCCCTGCCAAATGGGCCAGTCGAGCTCTCTCCCGCACCATACTTCGTTCGATCTCCTGGATCAGCTCGTGGGCCAGCGCCTCATCAATCGTGGGGCACGAATTCTCCACTTTCGTGTCCAACACCAGACCTGTCGGGTCCGTGAGCTCGAATCTGGTCTTCTCCCAGGCCGCCTCGTAGCCCAAAGAAATGAGCACCCCCAGAGGGACAATGACCTGCGCGTTCTCCTTGGTCAGCAAGGTTCTTGTCCACGGAAGCAACCTCAGGACGGCCGATCCTGCGGCCAGTTCAACGTTGACCTCTTGGGCTCTCGCCCATTCCTCTTCTGAAGAGGTTCTCCTCAAACAATGGGTGGCTCCTCCGTCCAGAAGCGCCCTTCCTCCTTCTCGAACTTCAAGACTGCTCAGTCGAATGGCCTTCATCGATGAACTTGGCCTCAAACTCTTCAATAGGGTCGTAGCTTCATTCAGCAGGTCCTTCATCTCACCGGAAGTTCCCGCTCCCTTATCGCCTTCGCTGGACAGGTTGTGCTCCATCGGCTCGCTCCCCCCAGTCTTCGGTCCAGGCTCCACCACGTCGTCCTTGACCTGGGCGACATTGTTCTTCTCCTTGATGGACTTGACCGCCTGCTTCTCCGGGGAATCACGGACCTTCTGCTTCGTCACTGGGCACTCCTTCTTCGAGTGGCCTGTGCCCGAGCATCCATAGCACCTGCCCTTCTTTTCAATGCCCGTCCAGTCATGCTTGAACTTGCAGTCTTGGCCCTTTCGGCATCCCTCCTCCGTCCCCCAGAAGCGGCATGCCTTCTCTTCTCGAGCTCCGTCAAACTTCACCTTCCCGGTCGTCTTCTCCGGCTTCTCCTCCTGAACTGCGGACATGGCCTTGACCTTGGTGGTAGTTGGAGCTGACTTGATGTCCTGCTGTGGTTGGAGCTCACTGATCGCCAACGACTCAGCCTCGGCCGTCAACATGTCTGCAAAATTCAGCACGGACTCCAGTGTCGGAGTAACATCCACTCCCAGAGCCGCCCTGGTCGAAGACGTCCGAAATGCGGCTTGGCTCGATGCCTTCACTATCTGCTCGGACATCTTGTCCAATGCCCCAAGAAGCAATGTGGAGTCCGGGGTGGCAATCTCGAGTTCCTGAGCTCGTCGAAGACTCCTCCTCCAGCCTCGCAAGAGCTCCACCGTCTCGTTGAGGCTCTGCGGAGACTTTGGTTCCACCAACTGGCGCAGCAGCCTCGACCTCTCAGCCAATCCCCCAGGCTGATACCTCCTGAACAGGGCGTAGAGCACATCCACCGAACTCGAAGCTCTGTTCGCCAGCGTTTCCGACCTGATGGATGTAGGCACTGCGTTCAGCAACATCAACTGTCCTCGCTGCTCCATCCTACTCCAGACCGTATTACACTCCATGGGCACCTGCGTCTTGATGTGAAGTCTCTGCACTGGTTCCGCTCGTAGCCACTCTCGGTAGGCCGTCATCGCCAGCTGCAAAACTTCTTCCCACCATTTCCAGGACGTAGCGCTCAGATCTCTCATGGTAGGCGAGATGAGTTGAATCCAGTCGCCCAGAACCAGTGAACCCAGCTCTCCTTCTCGAAGCTCGGGCAGTGGTGGTAACTCCACCGAACGAATGGTTTCACCCCAGCTTCCATCCGGTGCTCCAGTCCCCAACTGCCTCAACACCGATTGAGCAGCTTGCTCGAGTGGGGATCCCTTGCCCAAGTCACCGTTCTTCACAGCGCAGTCTGGTAGTCCACGGCCTGGTCCTTGCCACCCAGGGGTCCCATGGTGTGGAGTCGCAAATCCCTCTCTTCCATAGCCCGGTCCTCCATGAATTCCCGCCTGAAGGGCTCCCAACCAGGATTCTGGTACTGGAGGGGGTCCACGTCCGGCTTCATGAAGTCCTCCCGAAGGTCGAAGGGCTGCATCCTGTAGTCCCTGACGTTCCCCTCCAGGAAACTCAGGAATCGCTCCAAGGGTCGTCATGCCCACCTTTCTCTCTGCCTCCGGAGTGGTGGGTGGCGGACCTGCTGGCGGACTCGGTGGAGGGGTCGAAGATGGAGGCTTTGGTCGATCCGCCTCCTTGAAACCCCGGTCCTTCTCCTTGTTGGAGTCCTCGATCTTCTTCTTCAGGTCGGCCAACTCCCTCTTCAGCATCGAATTCTGTGCCATCACGGCTTTCATTACCTCCTTGAGGTCCATCCCAACCGCATCCTCCTGGGTGACCTCGGTTCCCGAAGTTGTCGACCCCTGCGGCAGCGAGGATGGTCGCATCGCCCTCAGCATGGCTTCATCTTTCATCGACTGCGACCAGAAGGGGTTGACAAGTGGAGCCGGCTGCCCCCCTAACCCCTTCCCATCCTTCTTCCTGGACTCTCCGCGCCGATGAGGACCATACGTGGTCGGAGGCCCCAGCGGCAGCAGCTCTTGCGAAGCCAGCGCAAGCACCCCAGCCTCTGGAGGGACATCCTCCAAGGCAAGGGCACCTGTCTCCTCCTTGGCGCTCTCCATCGAGGATGCGCCCTCCGGGGATTCCACCCCCGACGCTCCAGCGCCCGCTGCTCGCCGAGCCATGGCGGCCAACGACCACCCTATCCACGCGACAGTGGTGGGTGGACTTACCCAACAGCAAACCTTGGGCTCATAACCTACGGAAGCGCTATGCGCTCTTTTTGTGCTTAAAAGGGCTTCGGTGCGATCATAGCCATAAGGCCTTCGAAACTTGGTACACTTCGATTTGTGCACCCACAAAATGAACCCACTTTAGGTCAGACAGTCCAAATATGTCCAAATTATTTCAAATTATACAACCCAGCTGGTCAACCAGACCATTTTCTATCTATCAGACTCCCCACCCCCCTATCTTATCCTACACCGGTAATGTGAAGGTTTACAGAGGCAAGTTGCTCTGATGGCACTCGTACGTTTCAGGGTGGGTCAGTGTGGCCCGGTCCTTCCATTTTTTTCTTGCGGGGAGCATCTTTTAGAGTTTCGAGTGGGGAATGAGCTTGGAAAGAACAGATAGAAACTCATGCATTTAAAGGAGCCCGTAAGATACATATTTCAGACAGCTGCCAGTGCCAGGTTTCGCCTTTGTGGAAGACCCGCATGTGCGAATTCTGGAAGGCTGTGCACCAAGACGTGGCGAGGATAGATCTACTTTTGTACCGCGCTGTTCCTTTTTTGGGGCCATGGGGCCGGTGGTGGCAGGCCAACAAGTGCCAAAAGGGAGAGGCCTGTTCCTATGCTCATGGCGAGGCCGTCCGCGCGTGTGCAGCGTACGACCGACCGGTGGGATCTGGGTGCGACCTCCTGCCCCGACCAGGCCGACCTGCGGCCCTCGCCGGACTTCGAGCGCACGTCGGTCTGCCCGGCGGGGAGGCCTGGGGAGGGGGCCTGCGAAGGAGGCGGGGAGCGACTCTTCACAAGCGTGGGGGCCGCCAGAGGGTTCAGACTTGTTGGGGTGGCTGGCAGGAGGTTTTCAGGGGGTTGTTTTTGTAGAGTCCTGGAGCCTGACACCAAACCATGCTGACGAACTAGGGTGCCGTCACCAAGCAATGGCTCGGCTTCTGAAACCGTGTTGGCACCACAGTCTCTGGTCCAAGGCGTTCCTTCACCATGGCCGGTGCGACAAACCCCATTGCCGCTATGCGCACTCGGTGGAGGAGCTCCGAGTGGCGCCCGGGGCTCGGACTCGTCCCTGCTTGGGACGGCGCAAGCGCTTCCGTATCTCGACACCGGAACGAAAGGCATAAGCTGAGCAGAGTCGGGTCCTATAAGTTGTGGATGGAACAGTGGGAGATGTGGCTGGAAGACTGGGCTTAACTTGGGTTTGGAAGAATGGTTTCACGTTGCAGACAAGTGTCCAATGTGCATTGAGTTTGGGGGCTGAAATTTCACGACGTTGATGCCAGCTGAGGCCGAATTTGCTCAAGAGCAAGATGTGCAGTTTTTATTTATCTGGCACTGGCCTGAGGTCACATTACTGGAGCTGCGCACGCACGTTCTGCAAAGTAACTTGCTGTACCAGTTGGTAGAGGTCCAAAATTTGCATTCATCATCATATATAAATTTATCTGGACATGTTTTACTAACAATTTTAGTTTGGTATCGTTTTTTCCTGGTGCTTGGTCGCTCAAAGTGGCCTTCTTTGGGTGTCTTTTCTGGGTCTCTTTCTGGTGTCCAGGTCCTACAGCAAAAACAGAACACATCATATCATGCCCGAAAAGTTAGCTCCAACTCGCTGCAGCTTGTGCAGCCGAACCCCCAAAACAACGAATACCTCCTGAATTTGGCCAAGGGCCAAACTCTTGGGAGAGGTGAGTTCCTAGTTGGTTGAAGTCTGGAGGTTTCTTAGTCCTTCTTGCTTTCCTTTTTCTCCCGTCTCGTGTTTGGGAGCCACAGAAGAACACATCATTGAATCTCATATAAAAATATACCAAGACCGAGAAAGCAAGCTACCTTGAGACAGTGAGGCTATCCGCAGGGCTTGCTTGGTGGAACTTTCCATGCAGCTCTTGTCTGTTCAGCTCGCCCCAAATGGCCCCAGACGGTGCCGCAGTGCGGACACTGAGGCCGGTGCGTGGTGGGCAAAGCATGCCGCTTTGCCCATGGTGCCGAGGATGGCACCCGGTGGCACCGTTGTACCAGCTATAGTTGCACATATTGGTACAATATGCTCCCCTAGCTGTGCAGTATGTTCACGCCGAAGAGGAATCGGCATAGTGTGCGTTTTTCCCGCTCAACCACGAACAATGTCACGGTTTGGCTATGAACGGGCGCTGTAGTCAGAAGCCAACTCATGGATCCACATAGCTGCATTGTTGATGATGTTAAGTCCAACGAACTTTCGCCACATCCTGAAAGTGCCAATTGGCAGGAACTAGAGGAGGCAACCGTGCGGATGCCAAGGTTCTCGCACGACAAGGTGAAATAAGCTGTTCACATCCCAGATGGCACTCTCAGCTCCTGAAAGACGAGGAATTTCATCTTCCAACAACCTGTGTTTGTCGTGTCAGTGTGAGTGTAGTGCCCAGGCAGTCCTGAGCAAAGCCGCACCGCAGGCATGGGTGTGATGGGAGCCCCCCCAAAAAACAAACATATATATATATATATATCTGGTCAGGTGCTGCCAAGGGCCATTTTATTGACACAATTTGCGCCCTCTCCCAACTTGGCATGAGAACTGACAAGTGGGTTTTGAAGCTTATATTCCTCTTCCAGGGGGTATGCATGTTAGTCAGCAGATGATCTACGAGCATACGTAGAGATGGCAGTGTCGAATCTATCAAAAACACATACTACACACAAGGCCCCTCTGCGTACAAGCCCTCCATGTAGGCGCTCCTTCTTCGCAGGTGGCCCCTCTGGTTGCGGCACACCCGCTGGAGGCCGCTGCGCAGCCTGGTCGTCCGCCCCGCTTCGGCGCACGGTTTCAGGCGGGGCCGCAGCCTTTGGGCCTCGCGGCGCCGGCGCTCCTGGTGCCGTTGCTGGAAGTGCAGGAGGTGGGGGGAAGAGACCCAATGACCAAAGTCCCGAAGTTCGACCGAAGTCCGTCGAGTTCCAAAGAGAAGTTCGGGAAGTTTCCCAGTTGCGGTGGCGGGCCTTTATTTGAGTGCACGGATATGCACGGTGCCCAGAGCTTCACTTCACAGTTTCTGTTGTCTTGCAGCTGGTCTTCAGTGGCAGCTTGCCTTCTCCAGCGGTGGTGTCTGGCCGAAAAGATCCAAAACGCTGGACGCTGCATTTCGCTGTTGCGTCGGTCGCGGGATCGGCTGCCACGGCTGCCACGGGTGCCGTGGGGCCTAAGCCCCAAAGCGGGACAGAGCGACGGGCGCTGCGCCGGTACAGCGTGTGGAGACCTTGTCGGAACAGCGTCGCAACTGCAGATTCTGTTGGCCACGTTTGGATTCCGAAGTGGCTTTGCGATGCTTTGTGAGGGGTACGGGATGGTACGGGGTCCATCGCATCGGTGGTTTGCCTCCGCAATAGGCGGGTAATTTGGCCCAATTTGCCACCGTTGGACTGTTGTGGCTATGGCAATTTTGAGAAGCCGAACCCCATCCAACTCGAAACAGATCTGATCTGTAGTTCTGCTACTTCACTTCGGGAAGCCATCTGCATGTCTTCCGCCCACTTCCAGCGTCAGGTGCGAGAGGAGGCGTCACCCGAAGGTCCCTCTCCACCTCGGCAGGCCGCGCGTCCGCCGTGCGTCCACCCGCGCGTCAACGAGAGAGCTTTTCACGTGGTTCGGGCCAATCCCGGTCGTCAGCGAGTGGCGGGAGGAGGCAGGTGACACGTGGTCCGACGGGTTGCGCGTTGCGATGCCGTGGTCCACCCGGAGGTGCGCAGGAATGGACGGGGACGCAGATCGACTCGGACTCATCGGGTCAGACCAAAACAACGGTCTCGAGGTGATGCCGGAAGCTGATTTGTCCGGGCAGCCAAGACATGTAACACAGATGTGAAATGATGTGTGCACACATACAATCACCTACATACAATCACATACATACAATCACATACAATCACATACAATCACATACATACAATCACATACAATCACACACATACAATCACATACATACAATTGCATACATACAATAACATACATACAATCACATCCAATAACATACATACAATCACATACATACAATCACCTACATACAATCACATACATACAATCACATACATACAATCACATACATACAATCACATACAA